GATATAATATATATTTCATTTCGTATAATGTGAGTTAATTATTAAGAAAGTAACCTTTGTGATGCATGTTTATTTTGTGTGTTGGAGCCCATAAGAAAAGAACTGTCGTTTCTTTGACTCGTTTCGTAAACTAAACTATTCATTAGATTGCTTTTGTTTCTTGACGAAAAATTATAGTGATAATGCAGAGGTTTACACGAGAAAATGAATCATGTGTGTACAGATATTTGGCTCGATTCTAAGGTGTTCAGAAAATTTTAAGTATCTAATACGAAAATAATATTCTTAATTCGAAATAGATAAACTGTTTAATTGTTAGTGGTCCTTTAGTAGATAACTGGATATATAATATCTTCTTTTTTCCATTCTAATTTGCCATGTGCAATCATTGTAACTTATACAACTTTCTTAAGGTACAGAGAATATACCACATTACTTGTAAAGAAAACTAACCCTTAAGTTTTACTAATTCGAAGCATGAACTCCGTTGTTAATATCCTTTCCACTCTCACATTCGACATATAAAATTCTTTATACAGTAAATTATACTATTGTCGTACTTTTATGTCTCATAGTGTATTGAATAAAACGGAAAATAAATACTATAATTCGAACTAACAGTGCAATTTTCTAGAAAAAACATGGTATCTTTTATATATAAATACATATTAAAAATCAAATAAAAACCAGAACAAACACTTGTGCAGGATATATGGACCAAATGCCACTCCCATAAACCCACTCAACAAACTCATTAATTTATATACATGTATACACAAATTATTGAACATTTATTCATACATGTTCAAAAAAGCATACACAAATGTTTTTATAAAATCGACGAGACGACGAGTTGATTTCAATGATCGTTACATAAAAGAAAATAAAAAAAAAAGCCTTAAAGAGTGGCAGTGCCACTAACCCTACATCGCACATGCATTTCGTTTGGTATTATAACTTTAGGTATAAAGTAGCATTAGAAATACCATTTTAAATCATTGCACTGAATACAAAATCCAAAGTTTCAGTTTTTTGGCCCCTCTCTTTTGCCCTGTCAGTCCATTAAACGACCATCAAAAATCATATTTAGATTTCTCAAATAGTAATATGACACGTCAACATACCATTTGAATCTACCTTCCTCCTCAGTTCCACCAAAGAATCGCCCTTTATGACGCACACAAGTTTTTTTTCCTTCTTTCTTAAACATCTTTGGATATGAAAATAAGCTCATTTAACTCTTATTAAAGAAAAATACTACTAATTTAGATTGAACCATAAACATAACGGGAAACAATCATTATTGATGCCCTACCACAATAGAATCTTTGTACTATTTCTATAGTTGCATTCAATTTAACATCGTTTTTCATAACTCAGTTTTAACATCAATGTTTTGTCGTGTTGATTATGTAAAATAATGGCTATATGTAGTGAACTATTGAGGGATGCTATGTGGATAGCGAGTGAAAAACTCATGATTGAATTAAAGTTTGTGAATTACTTTTCTTTCTAATACAGTGTCTCTGTTAGTACTAATACAGAGGATAAAACTTTAAAGTACACAAAAACATTGCTTCAAGTAACAATTATCTCTTTCATAATTCCATAATCTACAGACACCTCTAGCTACTTAATTACTCTTTCTGTTTTAAAATGTAAGTTGATTTGGAATTTTTTTTTTTTTAAATGTAAGTTGTTTGGATAATCTTAAGTACTTTTTAACTTTATTGAATATTATGTGATCATTAATATTTTACAGTTTTTTGTGTGATTTGTCAAATTATTTTCATTAAATATATTAAATGATACGTTTTAGTAGAAAAGTAGTTTGTTAATATCCGCGTTTTTAGCTAAACCAACTTACATTTTGAATCAGAGGGAGTATAATTTATCATTATCGTTAATCTTATGTTGAAACTTAAAATTATTTTATATTTATAATATTCACGAATTCCTTAATCATCCATTACAAATGCCACTTTCGTAACTGGC